ACAAAAAAATAATTTTTTATCTAAAATTATATGAAATAAAAGTAGGTTACTATTTAAATTTTTTATATTCATTTCTTGACAAGTTATCTATAGAGTTGGGCATTATTCGAATTGTTTGCAATAAATATTTATCTAAGATAACGTTATCTAAGATAAAAATTGGAAGCTTTTTTCTGTAACATTCACTGGTTGATTTTTCATTGTTTCTTGTCTCAAACAAGAATCGGGAAGTAAAATTGTTTTATCAGTTCATCGTTTCAGTGTCTGAATAATATGTGTTTTTGTAAGAATGTACGGTCGTGGGAAAAAATGAAATATCACGTGAAATCTAAAGTCGTCACAAAGTTTAAATTGATTTCGAAACGTAAAGCAGAGGTTCCGGAATATGTCAGTATATACAGTTACTATATTTTGTGTTTTTGAATGCTCATTAGTGACCATCAAAGTTAAAAATAAGGAATCGACATGAGCATTTAAAACTTAATGTTTTATGGAAATATCTTTAAGGGGTAAGTGTAACGTACATTCAGTCGATTTATGTGACGTGGCAATCAAAGTGTTAAAGAAACGATCTTGTTATTAGTAGATATTTGCAGATATTTGCTTTCTTGATGTAAAACCACATGATTTTAAAAATATTATTCTGTCCTATGCATGAAATATTTCGTAAAACATACTTTCTACCCTTAATTTTGAGGGTTATTTTCATTCTTTTAATGTGAATTATTACTATTTCCTTGAGAAATACTGTCTCTGTACATTTCATCAAAATCAACGTGTATAGATATTGTATACGTCTTACAAGTTATCTTACAGCCCGTTTATTCACATAAACTCAGGAAAGTCTGATTGCCTTTACTAAGTTTAGACGTAACTGTTTGTTGAAAGCCCAATCTTGAAATTCTATGAATCTGAATTACTGAACTGTGGTAGCTGTACTGCCTTATAAGAGTAATTCATTTCGTTTCATAGGAAGTGCGGTAATTTTCTGGCCAAGGGTTGTATGCAGTACTTCCAAATCTGAGATCTGAGTTGTTTACTTGTCATAATAATGTTAGATAAAAAATTGAAATTTTCTTCTGTGATTTTATCGTTTAACATTTTAAAAATATAATTTCAAGAGAATTCGAGAAGCTAACAAGGTTATAAAATTCGAAACGTAGCAGTATTGGGTCTCACGTTCGTAGAATTATTCTGCATTATATAAATCATTCGCTCAACACAGAAAATAAAATAGTTCAATGTATACGTTATTTTTTCATATAATAATCACTGAAAAAAATTGCTTCAAATATTTTAATTGCGACGTATGTTAATTACAAGATCATTGTGATAACAAATTGTCATAATAAAAATATAAAAAACTACTGTCGTTAGGATTTTATTATTACGTCTCGTAGGTTACTTTGTGTCTTCAATCCTTCATGTAAAAAATTCTTTGACATATGCCCCGGTAACTAGAACACGCTAGACTTTTCTAGAAGTTTCGCATTCGATTGAACGAATTATTGGTTTTCTCTGGTCTACTTCATTTTACTTAAGATCTTAGCTCGAAATTGAATACAAACTCTTTTCCTTTGGTAATCCATCGGATGGTATATAACAGGACAAGTTTAGCCTATGACTACATTTTGACCTCCCTCTCCTGTTGTACCATTTATCATGTTTATGCTTTGTGGTCAGTGGCGGCTCGTGGATTTTTTCATTCAGTGTGTTGTAAATACATATTTACATGTTCATATCGTCACCAGCCTCAAATTAAAACCTTATGCGAACGCTTTTTTATACACATTACATAATTGGTTAGTTGGAACTCAATAGACTCTAAACAGATGATTGATTTCTATTTATTTTAAAATTTAGTTTTACGTTTAAAAGCATTGTTTTTAAAATAAATTGAAAAATATCTGCAAAAATTGGCGCGTGTCGGGTGCCGTTTTGCCTTTCAGCATTGTTTAAACATATTTAAATGTTTATAATGTCATTAAAATTTACATCATTGTGTTCGGGAAGGTTCATAGAATAATACTCTGCAAGAAAAGTTGGAAAATTGAGTTTTTTTTTCAAAATTGATTATCTCAAAAACTATGGGTGATGGAGAAAAATGGATTGCATATTCGAATTCAGCAGAATAAATATTATTACGATCGTCCATTAAATTTTCTGTAACAAAAATCCTGTTGACTAGTGTTATTACTTATCATTGCGAAAGAAACATTTAATTTTATAATACAGTTCATAGCTCAATTGCTATGACTTCTTTGGCTGCGACCATGTGAACAATCCTGGTATTAAAGTCTTTGATGCTCGAAATTAATGTCTTTTCCGTACAGAGCATTGCAAGGATTATAATATCGGCGATTTTTGAAAGTCTTTAACCCATTCTTTGAGTAGCCGCCCCTGATTACGATGTACCATTTTTTTGCTGCTATACATGATTTTACGATTATTTTTAGGTACAAACAAACAGTATGGGTCGCTTCACAGGGAAAAAATGTCGCCTTTTGACAATGTTGTGGCTCACTGCACTATTTTTCTTAGTAGAAATAGTAGTAGGTTATGTAACTAACTCGATGGCTTTAATAGCTGACAGTTTTCACATGCTGTCGGACGTAGCAGCATTGGTCGTTGCATTTCTTTCTGTAAAGGTAAGTTACGTTATTTTTCCATTAATTCTAGTTTTTATCTTTTACATCGTCATCTGATTCACAATAATATGTGTTATATGCCTCTATGTAAATTAATAGTAATAAGAAAGATTTTCATTAGATATGTAAAATGGTCCGTAATATATGGAACAAGTTTGAAAGAGTTTACAATTGTTACTTGATTTATTTTTAAGCTACTTGCCAAAACGAAACGGAAAATAAAAATTGTAATTTTGATGTTGTTATTAAGTTATTAATCATTATAAACTCTTTACAACTGTGATCCTCAGATATTTATCTCGACTAAATTAAACACATTTACTTGTCGAAATTCCTTAACCCTTTGTTAAAACAAATTATAATTACATATGAAATATGCATATAATTTTTTTTTGGGGGGGAGGGTCATTTTTCATACTAATAATTTGGAACGGGCAAATCTCAAAAAATTCTCAGCCATACACTGCTATGCCAAAAATATCTCCGAATTTTTTTACAATTTTTATTTACCATTAAATAAGAAAAATGGGACAAAAACTAATAATTCGAATTTACCCTCTATAACTACCCTTGTGGTTGAGATGGAGGACTGAGAAAAATCGGTTTAAGGGCACTTTAGACCCCTTTATCTTGCTATACCCTTTATACATGTGTATTTCTTTTCAATGTAAATTGTGGACTTGAATCGCACGATTTCAATTTACACAGCATTTTTTGGGGAACCAATCTATCGTGTAAATCGAGAGTTAGCTGTACTTTTATTTCTGCTGTGTTTGTGATTTTCATTCGCATTCGTTAAGAATGTCGTGTGTTTTCCGTATTCTTCAATAAGATTCGACACGCTATCTAGTTACAATAAAAGCGGTCTAGGTTGATTTGTTGGCAGAAGAGTATTTACATAGTATGTACATACGTATGTGTGATAAAGAAAGAGCCTGTGTTGTGACTCAAGGGCAGGAAGTTAATAGACATTGGTCAAGACATAGACAAAACGCTGTAAATTAACCGGGTATGCGGTAGCACTGTAAACTATTCTTCCTGCCTCACATTGTTAGAATTCTTCCTTCATATTACAAAGTACAGCCACCAGAAAATTTCAGTTCATGAATATTATTTTTGCAAATGAAAAAATTGCTGGCGAAAAATTCTCTATATTGGGTCACTATGTAGTAAATACATCCATAAATCGCGCGAATTATACGTGAGTATAAAGTAAAATTATATTAGCCAGCTTCCAAATAAAAAGTACATCAGACTATTATTATTATTATTTATTGTATAGCCTTTTTGTTTCAGTGCCCTTACTGAACGGTATGGAAACTAAAATTTCAAAATCAGTTTATAAATAAAAAAGAATTATGGTCGAATTTAGAAGTCTGTTCAAATTAGGAAACTTTCCCCTACTATCCAATAGTGGTTATTAAATCATGGTAATTTTCATTATTTTCAAGATTTGTTATTAAGGTGACCTGATTAACACTATAATTTTTATAAACATTGTAACAATGCATTTCTTCAATTTTTTCATATTTTCAATAGAGTACTCAGGTGAAACTATTTATTTTTAAAATCATTCCGAATCTTTAATACTTTAAAGATACCAGTAATTGCGAAATAAGAAAACTAAAATCCGCCATTTTTACGAGTTCAGTAGTTTTAGCGTTAAATCAAGTTATAATATGTTGGTTGTTCGGATTGCAACTGTGAGATATTTCAAAATTTTGTATGGCAAATTAAAACGAGAAATAAACGATTTAAGTTTTAATTATAAGTATCCAAAAATAGGGCAGGTAAAGAGAGCTGAGTACAATTACTGTCGGGTAAAATGACTTCTAGGTAACTGTAACTCAACTCATTGAGGCTGCGACAGATTTAACGACCTTCAGTGACATGACACTATCTTACGACATTACTTAACATTTTATTACACAACTTTTGCCTGGCAGATAGTCCATTTACGAATTTTAAACCAAATTTTAAAATTGTCCTCATTTGATTATGACGAGAACAACAAAATTCTGTTTAAATGCAGTTATAGAAAAATCGTTGTACAACAAGTAATCCTTTGTGATCGATCGTTTCTCCTGGAATATTAATTCGGTATTAGTAATGAAAATGTCGAGGCTCTTTTTGCTTTGTTTGGAAACATATCTGTAATGTTCAGAGCAGTCGAAGATCCGATTAAAAAAATAATATCTAAATTACAAACATTAATTAACACAAGTGTCATCCACTAATTTTGTTAAAATTTTAGTAAAAAGTAGAGCTCACAGAAACATTTAACTTACTTTTAATTGTTGGCTATTGTTTATATTCAGCGGATAAAAGCAATCCATGAATCTGGAGGTGAGAAACATAATTAGTCGAATATCTTGGAAATTATTCGAATTAGAATATTTAATACCAAACTCAGCTGTAGGATAGGTACCAGAAAATACTATGTGTTTAAGTAATACAGTAAAGGGTACCACTTTTTTGTTAATGTTTTTAGTTAAATTTGAGTTGTCTTCTTTCCACGTTTGTTCGCGCAAAACAAAATACGAATAAACTGGAATTTTATGTGACTGAAGCTTATTATCTGACATTAAAAGATACTTTGCATTAATGAGTCATTAACATATCAGTTGTTAATCGATTTTAATCTCTATATTATATATCTTATCATCTCATATATTATAGCATTATGTTAATCTATCCAATTTATTTTAATTTATTTATCGACTTAGCGACACAATACATCTGAATCATTTGTATACAGAAGATGCACTTGCTATATGATTAACAGAAATTACAAATAACCATGAGTCTTACTATATTTCTTGTACAGTAAAAGTATTTAATTTTCTTCCTTTGTAAGCTAATTTTAATAATATAAAAAACTTTTTTAAAATGCTTTTATCATTATATTTTAAATTGAAGTGGATTTATAATTTTGAGTATTACTTTTATGTTTTAATTTAATCGGTTTAATAAATTAAGGATTTCATGTTAACAGGAGTCATCAAATTGATGTAAATCGAAATCATATTAGAAAAAAAACTAGATACATTTTGTTGTACATAAACATATTTAAATGAAATAGATGTTTATTAAATCAGTTACTTAGTTCTTGGGATGTCGTTTGTATTAATTTGAAAACATTTCTCAAAAAGAAAATGTTTGAAATTTTGAGCTTTATACCCACAATTGTGGTTTATATTTACAATTGAACTTAACTATTTGAACTACTTGAACTATTGAACTTAAATTTATGTAGAATTGTTCTTTTCACAAATTTTTCAATAAAGTTTTTAAAAAATGGAGTGTTCAACAGTCAAATGAATTCCGATAAGATCCTCCAAATTCTTGATAATTTTTATAATTTAATAAAACATTTTTGATCATTATATTTAAAAAATAGTAATATCAGTTAATTAATAACCCAGTTTCGCTATTGAACAATTAAAGATAATACATGAATAATTACTTAGGCATGTAATATTGTAAGTTATAAGTAGTAAATAAACTTGATATAGTTAACAACCTGTATATCCATCATGCATAATATTGTCAGTACATGAGAGAAATTACCACTTATATATCTATAAGCAATTCATGTTTAAAAATTTATAAATTTTTCAGATGTCACCAAAGAAATGGTCTAAAAACACATTTGGTTGGGCCAGAGCCGAAGTTTTAGGTGCTTTGGTAAATGCTGTCTTTTTAGTCGCATTGTGTTTTAGCATTACGGTCGAAGCATGTAAGAGATTTATTGAAGTAGAAGAAATACATGAAGCTAAATTACTTGTAGCTGTCGGAGCACTTGGGTTACTAGTGAATGTAATTGGGCTGTGTTTGTTTCATGGTAAGTACGAAAATATTGTTACATTCTTATTTTATTCCTGTTTGAAATTATTAGCTATTGATTGTTTAACACGTAGAACGCCGCACGATTTCATAGAGCAAAATACACAAAATGGAAAAAGTACAATATTAAATTATTTGACTGAATTGGATTATTATCATTGCACGTTCATCAAACTGAATGTCACCGCAATGGATAGCACTATTTATAATATAGAAATGTGTGCGAATAATCATCGTTTCATTGAGTGAATTATAGTAATTCGATTTGCTTGGGGGTCACCGGTGACCCCCATGGCATTCAACGTGTTAAGCGAATAAACCACTTAAAGTAGAGTAAATTAATACTTTGTAAACTATATTAATATTAAACAGTGTTTAGTAATATTATGAAAATTGTATAAATAGATGTTCTTTGTTTATCAACTCATATAATGGAACAATTAATGTATAACGTGTTTCGTGTAAGATCGAACACCTTCTATCTTCTTTGTTTTTAATAAATGCTTTACATATGACTTCGTGGAAATGAAATAATGATCGTTGAAAAAGTTAGCACCATTTAAAGTTTTAAGATGACGTGTATACTCGTCAAATGTAAGGAAAACGGACTTATAATATATTCCAACGAAGAACTAAAGTAAAACGAAGAAGAATTACATGTGTATTTGAAAGAGTAAATAATTAATCGTGAAAAAAGTAGTATCCTTTTAAGTTTTGAGATGGCGTATATACTCGTCGAACACAATTAACTGGTTAAATCATTTGATTGGATTGAATTATTATTATTGTACGTTCATTTAGCTGTATGTCATCGTATTGGATAGCATTATTTATAATATAAAAATGTTTCCAAATTATGGTCATTTAATTGAGTGAACTATAGTAATTTGATTTCGTTGGAGGTCACCGGTGACCCTCATGACATTCAACGTCAATTAATGTCTAGTGCAACAGCACAGGGTCAAGAGGTGTCTTTCTAGTTTACAGTTTTACAGTTTTGATTGGTTACGTGTAACTGCATTGACAAGTAGTAAGTTAATGATTGAAAATATCGAAAGTTAATAGGTTGACTGCCACTCACTCCGATCGGAGTGTATTTCGTTAATATTAAAAAAATAATAAATGATTTTTGAAATTAAATAAATTCGTGTAACATTTTCGATATGTATAACACAAATCCAAAGTAAAATTTACAAAATCGAATTCCTTATTCTCTTCCGTAAGTTAGAAATTTTGTTTTGATCAATGTTTAAAAATGTATCAATACAATCACCGACGCTCGCGTTTTTAGTAGCTGAAATTTAGCCGGCGTTCAATGTGTTAAGTACTCCAATGCTATATTATTTTGAATAATAAATATTCAAAAAAACAAACCGTTTCGGCACTCCAGCTAATAACTAAAAATATCACTGGCAGTTAACCTGTTAAGAAATGACACAACAGAAAATTGGATGGGAAAAAATGAAAACTGATCAATCAGCTGAATTCCTCACCCCAGCGATTAAGTGATCACCTAGTAGTACATTGTATCCCAAGACAAGCTTTCTACTTCATTTTGTTAACATTCAGATATTTTTTTTTCATTTTGTGCATATTATCAATTCAGATAACGTTTACAAATAATTTGTTGTTAAGGGCTAAACTAATTAAATTAAAATATCATTAAATAAATTAAAAATAAATTTCGAAATAAAATATAATTGCATAAATAACGTATCAGTTATATAACTAATTGAACAAGAAAGATATTTATGAAGCATCGAGTTTTCTAATGGCTTTGAGAAATTGTAGCTCATTTTTAATATTTATGGTCTTATACAAATTAATTTAACATTTGTTGCTTTTCTTTTTCACCCCATTGATAACCCTTTTCCATAATGTTCTAATAATATATGGTGGATAGGTAATATTTCACCACAAGATTCACATTCGGGGGAATTGTCTTTCGTAATCTGATATTGGTGAGTAAGGTTCGAGTGACCAGTTAGGACATGAGTCCGAGAAACTTGTTCTTTCGCGGTGAGTGGTGTGTGAGGAAACTAGGTTTTCCTTGAACGTGGGATCTCACTTCATGTAATTCAGTTTAGATATCGTTGATTTAGTAATTCATGTAATAACAGTTTTCTCCCTTTTTTATGAGTGTTTTCACACCTTGAAGGTTTATTTTAAAGTTTTCTTCTCGTAGTTTGAATTTAATATCAATAGCAAACGAAAATGTAAGCATACGAGAATATTCACATCTGCTGAAGATTCCTATCAGATGACTGAAATTATTGAATACTCTGTCGATATTTGTGACGTTAATTTTGAAAGTAACCTATGTCATACATTTTCAGTTTTAAAATATTTAAAGATTTGTGGTTGAATAGATTAGAAAATATTTGTATACTATGTAACAAAATATTTCAAAAAATATTTGGTCTTAAAAAAATATGAATTTATTATGACTGTGTAATGTTGTGTGAAACTCATAAGAAATTATGATTTTTGATGCTTGAAATAACTCAGTCCATTTTTAAAATTAAGCTTAGTATGAACTTATATACACCGTTTTCGCAATGAACGATCCATTTGCTCATTCTCGATTTCTGTCTTATATTGTTTAGAAGAATCATTTTCTACCTTGTTTATGACTTATCATTGAATTGTCTGTATGCGCTGAATATATACTTATGTAAGATCACGTAAAAAACTTAATTTATATTAAAATGAACTCTACTACAAAAATATTCTTTTCTTCAGAACATTATACGCATACGTTTTATGTTTTATTTCTACCATAGTTCCGAGTTATTATATAATATATTATATACTATTATATATCATATAATTAAAACATTCTTACACTCCCAACTTTGAAGACTATATTTCACCCCCTGCACCTGAACAGGTCGTCCAAAAGTACCATGTTGATTATTTGGCAGTACTTTACTTGCGCGTTAAGCCTCATAAAACTGATCATGCATGCATTGACGATACTTTCTGTAATATTCATTTCTCTAATTTCCACTTATAAAAATATGTACTAGCATATTGATAATTATCAGCTGTGCCGTTAAAATGGTGTAAATTGTGTCTTAGTTTCTATTTCTTCTACACAGTTACTTTTCTTTTGATCTGTGAAAAATGGAAATACGATAATAATGAAAAGTGAATTTTTAATTGAAAAGATTTTTATTGTGCATGTGTATAGATTATTTTAATCTTTTTTTACAGAACATGGCAACGCTCATACACATTCACACGGTATATCTCGAAGCCAGAACAGGCTTAGCTCGTTCGTCGGAACCGACGACAACGAAAACGATGAAGCTTACAGACCTTCGACACCTCAGGTGAAAAGGACACACGGCCACTCGCATGACGCCAGTCAAATGAATATGCGTGGCGTGTTTCTTCATGTACTTTCCGATGCCTTAGGATCTGTTATTGTAATCGTCTCCGCGTTAATTGTTTGGTTGACAAAATGGGAGTACAGGTAATTAAATTTTTGTTACAGACTTAAATATTTTACGTAATATTTAGCTCACTGGAATATTAATTTTGTGTGGTGTTTAAATGCAGTAAGTGAAAGTCTAATAATATGGCAATACTAAATAGTAGAAATTTGAGTATCTTACTACATGTTCATACGAGATACGATATAAAAATGAAAAGTATTTTGCAACCGCAATATTAGATGATCTCGTCAGTTCATGTCGCGGTGTGTTAATACTTCTCGTATTACGTTTTCTAATCACAGAGCGATGCAAGTTTGATCTACTTCAGTTTAGTTAGTAGAATATATTCGAGAACGACAGGTCGTGAACTTTTTAAAAATTTTATATTTAATAAAATATTATTATACATGGTAGAAAACTGAACGACGCGAACTTGTGGGACGACCTCATAGTTGAGTATATTTAGTATCCTTTGTTTTGAGATTTGTTTTTCAGAGAATTCAAATTATTTATTAGAATTATTTTTAACTAGAAACATGGTCAATGTTATAATACACACATGGTTAAGTGTTTATATACGCTTAAGTTTGTTAAAAATTGGAGTTTTCAAAAATATGTTTTGTATTATTGTTGACGCAGCACAAAACATAAAACTTTACAAGCAGACAACAGAAGGTTCCCTAGCGTCCGGCATACAATAAACCAGAGGTCCTGGACATATGTACATAGCGGATCTAGTCAACTTAAAAAGACGGTGTCCAGACCTCCGGATTTATGCAGGCTTTGGGTCTTTCCGTGACACGTTACATTATCATTGTCAGGGAATAGTCAGCACACGCTTACTCGAATTTCCTCCAAATACAGTATACAAAAAACGCCATCGAGGCGGACAAGAAAAATTCAGAAACAAGCAGATCTCATCAAGATAGCGTCCGAGAAACATCCAATTGTAATCGCATACGAATATTAAAGTTTTCTTTAAACATTCTTCTATCATACATTCTAGGAGTCACGTCTTACTCTCTTACAAACTAACGATCTTTCATGGCAATTAAATTTGCGTTAGAGATGAGTATTACAGAACGTACAGTTCAGATTTGCGTCGCGAAACTTTGCTCACGCCGCAACAATTATGTTGTGATACATATAATCATATAAAAAAAATATATATATAAATAAAATCGTTTACTAACTATTTGGACTCGGAATACTAGTTGTGTTGGTATGCTACACTCATTGAAATTGTTTTAAAATACATTAATATAATTCTACGAAGTATTATCTGCGAAATGGCTAAAACATAGTCTTGAAATGTCTTCATATATTAACTTATACAAAATATAATTTTAGAATTGTGTCTACGATTTTTCGGTCCTCATTAATGTTTCGCGCAGATTTTAAAAATAATTACAAATACACAAATTCACCCTTCTTAGATATAATACATAAATAATTTAAAATTCGACCTAACAAAAAATATCCACGATTATAAAGTTGTTGCAAGTAAATGTCAAAATAGTTGTCAAGTACAAAGAATTAAATATATATTTTATTACATATTTATTTTATTTATATCTTATATAAATTAAGGAACAAATAAGGAACATATATGACAAAGCTGATGACAGGAATGATCCCGTAACGTATTAAATAATACAAATTTGTAACATTAATTTATGATCTTGTTTCTGGTTGACTTTTTAGCGAAAAACTTTTTTTAATTTTTAACAGCAATTAGTCGCAGCCCAATATTTATGTACACTCAATGTTTCTTTTGTAAAAGTAACTGATCGTTTAAGAACTACTACTATTTTATAGTAAGAGTTAAGGGTTGATTAATGATGATGTAACAGTTGAAGTTCGCTTCCTTTCTTGTTATGGATGAGTAATATTGTCCGGGCTAGTTAAGAAATAAGCTGGATCGACTGTGAAACTGATCAATTATTATATTTTTATTCCAGTCTAAGGACAAAGCAAAATATCCTGGGAAATGGGATTTCCATAGATTTACAATAAATTCTTTACCCTACTAACCTAAGCCTTACTTTTTTCCTCTCCTTCGTGCAGTCCTTTAACAAATATCATGGTAGCTCTTCTGTTCCTGTCTTTCCATATGCCTTATTGGAATTTCCTCCTTCTGCAATATTCCATGATAATTTCAAGTCCTCCTCTAGTTTCTTTCTCAAACTCTGTTCCTTAGTTTTCCTGTTCCTATTTCCTCTGATGCAGAACCCTTTACTCCAAGGAATAACTTCTTTCCCCTACCTTCTCGCTTAGTTTTTATCTTTTTCAGACATCGCATTGTCAACATCCCTTTTGCCCTTCATTCTACACTCTCTTTTGACCCTAGTCTTCTTTCACATCATTCCCCTTAACTTCTGTCTCATTAGTCTACTTCTGATCAACACGAGCAGTAGTTTAATCTCTTGCGCTGGAAATTAATTCAAAAATTTGGCGAGGTCTTGCGCGAACAATTTTGTCTTTACCTATTTTAGGCAGATATGTACACTAATTTTGTTTACTAATAATTTTGTATAAAGTGGCACATTTCGAAAGAGTTTAGTGTATGTAATGCAACAGGACTGTCGATGTGTGTAAGACGTCATTGGCAATTTTGGAACATCTAAACGTACGTGGTACATCTTTCTAACGCAAGAGGTTAACCGAAAATATATAATATGTAAAAAGTACGGGATAGGCTAATGCGTAAGTGAAGGAATTTAGAAGAAACAGTCACATAATATACAAAAGGTTCACAATAATAAGATTGATGCATTGGTCAGTGTTGAGTAAAAGTTATTCAAAATAACGAATAAAAAATGACAAATTCAATCTGATTGCTATTTACGAATAACGAGTAATCAATATATTCATTATTTACAAATAATAAATAAATTGAATTTATTCGTTATTTTAAATAACTTTTACCCAACGCTGCAAACAATGATATAAGAAACGTAAATGACATCGCCTTTCTATTATTATTAACGTAAATGCGAATAAGAAGTAATGACGAATAAGTATTCAGCACACAAGTGATGAATGACTTGCATGACAAATAATCGATTAAAAGTTAATTATTTATTCCTTATTATTATTTGAATAGAGTTTTATTCAAATGCCCAACATTGGTATAATTGGAAAAATTGAAAAACAAATACGAGCACCGATCTCATATACTTGTTATACATACCTTTCATACTTTTCCATTTCTTTTTCTTCTGTTCCTAGTAATTTGTCAAACAGCATTATACTAATCTTTCATTCTGTATAAAATCTTATTTTCCTTATTCTTCTACGAAGGTCATCGTTTTTCATTTGGATCTGAAAAGATAAACATTACTTGTTTTATAAAGTAGATGTGTACCTTCGTTTTTAAAATTTTCTTTTTCTTTTAGTAATAACTTAAATCAAATCGAGGTTTACTTATCTTGATTTAACATTTTTTATGCTTCCTTAAGAATGGCACGTTTTTCAAATTCATTATCTTATCATAATTATCCGAATTTTGTTGTAATATTTGCTATTTTTTTCATTAATGTCTAGAATATTAGGTATGCTAGTTCTGGAACGATGTTCTTTAAATAATTTTAAAGTCAGTTACGAGTTTAATAATTTAAAGTGAATGTATATGTGTGTATGTATATTTTTTTAATTTATGTTTATATTATATTTATTTCAAATGGAAAAGCAAACATTTGTGTTATAATTTTATTGGATTAGCGATCGGTAGTTTGTACATTTTTTTAAAATACTCTGCAATTATTCTTCAATATATTTACAGTTGTCAATGAATATATTTCGGTTCATGTAATAAATTCGGTTTGTATCAATAATTACCGGCCAATATCAATAATGATCACGTCTTTTGGTCAATAAGATTAATAACACGAAATAATTACATTTACTGCTAAATACTAACAATTAGTAGTGAAGTCCGGTAAATTTAATAAAACTACGTTTTGTAATATTTACTAGTGTTTGCAAGTAATTAATAATTAATCATTTTTTTTGTATTAAACTTACCTAATGACTCAGTGATTGATCAATTGAACCTTAATATGTAATATTGGTGGGCAAAATTAGAAGAAAATTAAATCTTATATGAAAAATTATCAACAGTTTACCTGAACTCATTTTAAAGGGTGAAATTTCCTGTTTTCCATTCGTTTTTGTATGAAAGCAGCCTTAAAGAAAACTTGTACAATTAAAAGAAAAGGTTTCGTCACTTAAAATGTGCAGTGCGGTAGATGAAGTAGATTCTTTTGAACTTTTTTTCACGAAACTAGAATAGTTTAAATATTATTAATTTTTACCTATAATTCAATGGTTCTTAGATTCAAAAAAGGAACTCACTTAGGTACTTCCCTCAGTACTATGAGATATTTCCACCCGATTTACGAAAACGTTACATTTGTTTCATTAAGTCTATACAATGCTCTGTAATTGATGACAACTGAAAAGGGTATGATTTTATATAAAAGTAAATCAATAAATCAAAAACATAGAACAGAATTTTTTACTTCACGTTTCAACTTCGAATAAATCTAATCAAGTTTTAACTCCTAATTAAATACAAATTGAAGTTATTTTGCATACAGAAAAAAATAAGAAGTGTAGAATAACTCTTTTTTTTTAATTTGAAGCCATGTTTTGAAAAAACATTGAGTTCGTTCTATCAAGAAATAGCCAATGTTACATTTGCGTACCTATTTTTCTCGAAGATTTTTCGAAAATGATACCTGGAATGAAAAATATCTATCGTATACTTCTGACTTATTGTTTGATATACAATCATTCCCTTGATAGTTATACAACAGATTAAAATACACCCCATCTACATTCAGATTTAACATTTACGGAATTGTAATGTAATATTATTTTACTGTAGAATATTTATTCCTCTCAAAATTAAAAATGTATAGGATGTCTAAAAAATATATAACATTTCGCAAATTATGGCTGTTTTTGAGGTGTGCTTTATTGGCTTTTTTTGAGATGTCTACGATTTTCCCACTATTTTTAACCTTCAAGTATGGAAATCTGAGAATTATTGATTAATGTTAAATATTCTCATTTAACAACTAATAAAAAAATGTGTTGTATTTATTTATTTTTACTTATTTAAATGTCTCTACTTAGTAATAGTGTCAACTTTGTAATGAAAATTTCATTGGTTTCAAAATTCACGAAATTTCATATAAAGATCTCCGAGACCATGCTTAAAGGTTAATATATTTTTCTAATATATATATTAGTTAATATATAGATTTAATTAAAGTATAATGCAAAATTAGGAAACATAGTTTGAAAATATTAGACATATAAATATTTCTCTCACTGGACATTTATGATGAAATATGTAATGGTCGATTCGTCTTTTAAAAGCATATAAGTTTTTAATTAAAATCTTTGGTCACGTTATGACTGGACTGTGGATCGTTATGCAAATTCAAAGTTTTAAGAATATAATTAGGAAAATAAAATTACGATATAAAATTATTTTTTCTAGTAAACCTATTGGTATCTAGTAAGATACCAATAATTGTGGATTAAGAAAATTTAAACTTATCATTTTATTGCGTGCGTTAGTTCTAGTGTTAAAGTTTTAAACCCTTCTTGTAATGTTTTTTATATTTTCCTAACGAAAATATCAGCATCTGTTTTTGGATACTGTTAGAGAAACGTAATATAGTCGAACACTCATAATTTGTGAACTGATTAGCATATAAAGTGCAAACCGGGGATCGAACCTTCCATTTGGAACTACTAATATTTTAGAAACAGAAAAATGGCAAAAGACTTTTTTATTTATGTCACATATTTTTCGGACATCCTGTAGTTTTATTCCGATCTATTTTTTCATAGTTAGTTTACTTATATTATGCAGCCTTGTCTTGTAAATGTCATTTCATTTAGTGTTTACATAACATTTTTATTATTTACAGATTTTACATTGATCCAGCTCTTTCACTTTTGTTAGTTATTCTCATTCTGCGGTCAGTGTGGCCATTGTTGCAAGAATCTGCCTTGATTCTTTTGCAAACTGTACCAACACATATTCAGGTAACATTATTTCAAGTAATGTAATATGTATACATTATGTTTAGGGTGATTGAAATGAAACGTACGTCAGAATTTCATATGAATACTGTCCAATATGAATTTTGATCTGAAATTTCCACCAGATAATTCTCGAAAAGTTTCTTATTCAAATACGAATTCGGAAACAGAATTACTTTTTCAATCTCAGTTTGTAAGAAATTTAATTTTGACAAAAAGCAAATGAATTTGGAACTTCTATTTTTGTTATTATTTTAAGATGACGTGTATACTCGTCAAATGCAGTTAATTGGTTAAGTAAATTATTGAAGGAAAGGCAGGAATGATAGAAAGTGATAGTTATACGAATAAGAAAGGAATCCAAGTAGTATGTATGAAAATCTGGACATTGGTAACAGATAGATGAATGAATACTGAAAAAGAAAAGTGAAGAAAAACTAATGGAGATTAATACTAAACGTACTGGCACTTCTATAATCCTACTGTAACCAGTCAAATAACTGGTTAGAAAATAAACGTAAACAAGTTAGACGATATTTTAAAATTTTTAAATCGGACATTTGACCGGTTACGGTACGTTTAATGTTAATATCGATACAAATAAACCTTTTCAGTTTCCATGAGTCCAAATATGGACTGCTTTTGTCAAAAATACCTTGAGTCTTAAAGTGATATTTCGGCTTTTCACGTGTAAGACAATTTCATCACATGTGTTGAGATCATTCTTTGATAAAAGGAACTTTTACTGAAAAAATAATACTACTGAAAAGAAATATTTATACAGTAAAAACACGGTAATCTCATATCGTAAACTAAAAGTTGCTCTACTGCAACTGTATGACATGATTAAAAAATTACTGGAAGAGATTCATTTTTTATATGAAAACATATGCGTCTTTGAACTGACTTGCAAATTTATTATAAACTTTGTATTTATTTTTGTGCAATAATTTCGTCAAAACATAGACTTACACTATATCCAAAATAAACGGCCCTTAGTCTGTAAAATTGTCCCATACTCTCCCTTGTTCCATTATCTTGTGACCAAATAATCAGCATGTTTTCATTATTCTTCTCGGCTTTTGGCTGTGACTTTTTTTCGAATGTTTGTGCATAATATTTAAATCTGGGCTTTCTGAATTCATTTTCCTGAAATTTTCACTTATTTTATTGCGAAATGCTTTCCTGTCGATCTCACAATCAATGTACGAAGTAATACAAACACACATCTAAGTATTTACCTCTTGCATAATTTCTTCTGTATGCTTATCGAACAGCAGGCTTAACATTAGATTCACGGAACGGACTAATTTGCCTCATATTAAATGTATAAACATTATTTGGTAAATGTTTGGATCGATTTTAATTGATGCAATTACGCGAATGTGTTTCCCAATAATACATTCTTAGCACTAGAACTATCGTACCAGTCAAAATGATTGGTTTTGATTTTTTGCTCAGTAGTTCTAGTGTTAAACATCTAATTTTCTAGATATAAACAAACGAACATCAGGTTTTTTAGGAATGAGAGAATAAACTGTACAATAAACATCCGTAAATCTAAGTGTTAACTACTTAGCGTTTGCGACCTCTTTGAAAAATATGTATCTTATTCTGGTATGTGTACGTGTTTATATATATAAATAATTTTTTCAAAAATTTTCATTCGAGTAATGCGTACGTATGAAATTGGTTGTTTCGAAAATGAATATTCCCTTAATCAGTTAGCTGTTTTTGGACGAGTGTACTCGTTATAACTCAAAACCTTAACATTTCTTCGTGACAAGTACATTCGTTAAAAACAGTTAACTGGTTAAGAGTACAAGCTTAATTACTTTGTATTGATATCCCGATATGTATTTATAACTTCTATCAAGGTGAGACTGATAATCGATAAGGTCAACTTGACAGCAACTATTTAAATCGTAAGATATCGTAGATTATATAAATGTATCCTTCTTAACTTTTTTTTTGTTTTGTCGATACTCTTTACATAAGGAAAATATGATGCACTTATTTCCTGGTTTTATGGTTTTATCATGCCTATTTATCTTTTTTATCAATTTGTTTTCTATTTGCCACAAGATCATACATCTTTTAGTCTTCAAACTATCTGCCATTCCAAATGATCGTAAAAATGGGCGATTCATTGGTTAAATGAAAAATCTATGAATTTATTTCTGCGTTCAATAATTGTGTGAGTTCACTTTAATGTCACATTTAATGTTTACTAATTATTGAATGACAAAATTATTCAATTGAAAAGTAATATTCCTGTGTTACATTTGAAGACAACAGGTTATCAGATTCTTATTCAGCATGTAAAGTCTGCAAGAATCACATTTTGATTAGTTGAACACAAAATTGTGTTGGACAGTGTTATTAATTTTAAATTACATAATATGCAATTATTCAGAAGAAAAAGAATTGCATCGTGTTTGGACTTACTTTCACTGGAGTAACTTCAATAATTAATTGGCAGGATATTTATGAAAATATTTTCATTGGTACCTGCTCTACTTGTAACGTAAATTAGAAACACTTTATTCCTTTTTTATGGTCACTGAAATGTAACAGCAACTGAAAAATTAAAGGAGGTATAGATAAATGTAATATAGTTAATCGATGTTCTGACTGTGTCATTAAAAATTTCGTAAAATATTGAAAAGAATTAACGCAATCAAATATGCAATGCAACGTCTTTGCAATACAACAAACTATGGAGAAAAAATATTTTTTAATGTACCGCTTATATATTGTTCGTATCAAAAGAATAGAAAACTCATTAATCTCTTTCTTTAATCTCATGCCTCTCAAGTTCTCAGTTTTTGAGATCTGTGCTGGAGATTTGTTTGAACTTTATAATAATAGTAAGCCGTTTTATATTAGTACATCTTGTATGTATAAATAATATTTGTAATTTATATTACGTGTATAATGTTCCTCTATATATAATTAAACATAATATGTATTTTATATTGTAGGTTGATGCTATTCAACAACGCTTACTCGAAAATGTCGACGGTGTTTTGGCTGTGCACGAGTTTCATGTGTGGCAGTTAGCTGGTGACCGTATCATCGCTTCCGCGCACATTAGGTGCAGAAATTTATCAGAGTATATGAAAATTGCGGAACAAGTTAAAGAATTTTTTCACAACGAAGGCATACATTCTACGACGATACAGCCAGAATTTATTGATGTAAGTAAATTATTTTCGTTTCAATGGAAAAGTTTTGTGTGCTTCTGTGCGTCTGAGTGCCACTTGTCTTTTCTTTGTTTAGCTCAGAAACTGAATTACGCTTTCCTATTTTCGGCATAAACAAATTCTAAACCCATTTTTCCATTTCTAAGCAGACAATAAAAACGATAAAAATAAATAATTAAAAGGAATACAAATAAATAAACTCAATTTAATCCTACGAAGCGATAGGCTGGCGCTTTTGATCGCGCCGCTTGGCTTTCAAACGTTTATACAAGATTTGTTTTCAGTTTTTTTAAATTATCAAAATTATCATATAGAATGTTGAGAAAAATGGTTCAAGACTTCAGGGTGAGCAGTATCCGATAAATAATAGAAAAAATGTTTGATGAACATGAGTCAAAACATTCATATTTTCAAAGTTATAAACAATTTCTTTCTGAAACCCTTAATTACGTATAAACAATCGAGAATTGAATTTGTGTCAATATTTAATACGAATATTTTACAATTGCTAAATCAGTTATATCTGTATGTTTGATAATAAAAAGGGAAAGTAACATCAGTGATTAATAATTAAAAATATTTGTTATGTTCCAGTACCAATCTAATAGTGAAATTAAGGAAACACCAACAGAAGATTGTGTACTAGACTGTCCAAAAACCGACAAGCCTTGCAATCATGCGACCTGTTGTGGTCCCTCTAAACAGGTACGTGTTTTAAATTATATCTGCTCATTTTTGTATAATTTAACTCCTATCCTCTCTTTCCATCTGCAGTATACCTTGAAGGCAGATACAAACCCCTCTTCTCCCTATCCTAAACCAAAATGTCTTGGACGATGCTTAGAAGCTATTAAATCAGATACAAATACAGTTATAGGTAATTTATTTATACGTATCTGTGCAAGTGATACAATTATGAATCACACTAATTGATGAAACTCAGATTTCGTCGCCTAACGTTTTAAGTTGTGATTGGTAAATGATTCTGTATTGTTTAATGTAATTAATTTGAACCTAATGGTTTTTGAGTTCATTGAAGGACAAATAATATTGCAAACTCCTTATAATAGGAGCTCTTTGAACGTTTTAAGATTTTATAATTAATTGACAATTGTTACACGTACTTGACATATTCATAGTGGGGCAAAGTGTTTACACATTATTGATGATGATTAAATTATATTTGTTGATCTGGTTACAAATTTCTAGTTGTAATCATTAACTGTCACTAATCTACCAATAATATTTAGGTAATGAAGGTGAGTCAGAATTTATAACAGTTCTACACAAAACTATTTGTAATCGATTCAATAGATACATTTTAATTATCAATCTTAACCCTTTGCGGTCCGAAGTATTCTCAATGTTTCACTCTTATTCTTAATGAATAAGAAAAACTGGTAAAATACGTAACTGTTAGCATAAAATTAACTATTCAGTCTATCTGTACATACACTACCATATGAAAATATTTAAACACATTCATATTGTTACAGATGCGTAAAAATTAAATACTTTTATAAATAAAATGCTCAAATATACAAGCGTACAAAACCACAAATATTTTAACCTTTTGTACTCGATAATATTTTTTAAAGCATTCCTTGTTTTCTGATAAAATATCGACAATACTATTTGCAACTAAAGAAAAAACTAGCATAAATTAAGGGGCAGAACTATTTTATTTTAATTGTTCATATGTTGACGCATTATTCAAAATTAAATACTAAATTTTTAATTTTATAATTGTGCTGAGTCGGATCAAATGGTAACTGAGAGCTGTTTCTCGAGCGCAAAGGGTTAATAAGATCATAGCAATGCGTAGGAGAATAGGATCTCAAAGGCTTAATATGTAACTTTGCTCCACTGTGGGCATATTGAATTGTTAAAATAACAGACATTTTTATTCAGGGCCGTGAAACTCCTTCGCCCGGAGAAACACCGTATATGTGCAGACAACGGAATAGTCTTGCACGCTCGACTGGCTCTATGAGAGGAACCGAACAACAAGAGGTAAACGAAATGGAACGCGGACATTTACTATCGCTGCCTGTCTCGCATAATTCCGTCCAACTTCCACATTCTCAAGTTAATACATCAGTTGTCTAAATTATCATTCGTATTATCCATACCTACCTCTATAACAAAAAAATCTGCGGCGCGTTACAATGTTATTATAAAAAAATTCAATAAACTGATATACATTATATATTGTTACGGCTGGGTGTGGACGTTCTTGACACTTTTATTTATTTACACTAATTTGTTCTATTATGTAAACTTTATATATACAATTATTTACAAAGTTATTTTATTATTTCGCTGTGACGACACATACCCGATCTCGACAGCTGTCTGAGGATGTCTCTTTCTCTTTTGACTGTGTTGTAATGAAATATGTTTTAAGGGGAGATTCTCATGTAACAGCAGTAAAATTAAATGACTGTTTAATATATGTTCTTCGCTTTTTCATTTTTTAAATTATTAATTATTTTGAAATTATTATTTTGCAGATAGAAAAATATTATTTTAAATTGCAGTACATTTATTTATTTACCTTCTTTCAGTATCGTATAAAGTTTGTGTACAATTGTTTGTGTCTTCGTCAATGATGTTAACCGTTATTGGCCGTCAGTGTCATTCTTTTTACAACCATTAGAATCTAAAAGATAAAGAAGTTTCTTAAGGTCAATTTCTGTGGGGACTATAGCTATTCCATCAAAAATAAATTTTTCTTGCTAAATAAGTTGAGTTTATATTAAGTTAATTATTAGATGAATATTATAAATGAAAAATAAAGTAACGATCACAGGCATAATCTCTGCAGAAATGTATAACGAATAAAATTAATTTTCTTTGAAATTGATGATTTAATTTGTTGTTAAGTTATTGTGCATATCAATTTAAAAAACATAGTTTTGAGAAAAACGTGTATAAAGTTTCAAAATACTTGCCATTAAAATTTATAATTTCGATAACTAAATTCAATTTATGTTTCGGCAGGTTTCTCTTTTTTCTAATATTTCTGAATCAAGTACCCATTTGTCTCAATATATTCAACATATTCATTTTCCTTAATTTTAATATTTTCACCATATTCTGTGACACGCACGACTAAATAAACTTCTACTTTATTATTTTCTCGAATACTATTTCAAAATTTTAAGAGCATGTTTTTAAAATATTGCACTACTGACACACGCGAAAAAGGAGAAACCATTTTTTGGAACCTGTTACACCAGAATCCCCTTTAATGACCACTTTCTTTAAGGTAGCCTCAGGTCGTTAAGGGTAATTCACCTTACGATGCAATTTTCCAATACATCACAAGGCTTCTTCTCACATATATGTTGTAACATTATTTTCTTCTTCCGTTGAGCGGTCGTCCTGGCTGTATTAGACTTTAGTCTTGTCAGCTAATTCCAACTATCTTGATTATGTTCAACTTCAGAACAATGCCTTGAATCTTGTCGCATCAGAAAGACCTGTAACAATTCTCAGTGTTCCTGTGTCTGAAAAGTAGGTAAAAAAAAAATGAAGGTGGGCTGAAAAGTTTAGTCTTTATTTAAATAAAGAATGTTTGTGAAACATCAGTAAACATTAAACGTTTTAACTATACAGATGAATCTGTAAATAGGGGTTGTTGTTTTATTCTATCTAAAAATGTTTGGAGTCAAAGGGTTAAGGCATTTCCACGTACCAGGACCGTTCTAACGGGGTAAAAATACTATATGACTAAAGAAAATTGGTTTTATTCAGATTTTTTTATTTTTATTTATTTATTCAGATTAAAGATGTCAGAATGTAGGCAAACCTTTTCAGCACACCACAAAAACCTTAAGTAAGACGTCGGTACTTTGTTTCTAAAACATTATTATATTCTTTCTCGTGAGCTTCTGATCTTTATATTACTTTATTCATCTTACTATTATATGTAAACGAGAAGTCGATTATTTACAAGATCAAATGACACAGGAGTAAGGGAAATTGCTGCCGCGCTATCTAATTTTCTTATAATAGGTGGTAGTAGGGTCTCCTTATTTCAGGGATATATTTGGCATAATATGTTAAAAGAGACGTTACTGTTGTTATAGCTATCCAACTGAACATTGCAAGTGAACGATTCCCATTGTCCCTATGGCATTTTAGCTTGTAGGTAGTCAATCTCGCATAGAGGTATGTCGACTGCGAAATTTGCGAAAAAGGACCCCGGAATCCAGAATATCCTGCTGAGCAGGACTTACGACTCCCAAATGGACTCACTGAAGCTGAGAACTTTTCTATTAAACCCTGTAGATAGGAAGTAGCAATCTAATACAGTGGAATCTGTTTATTGTGATCACTGTGGAACTTGAAATTTTCTATAAGAATAAGTAGTTGATAATATAAAATAGAAAATCATTTACGAAAGCATATGTTTTGAAGTGATAAATGATATGTTTCAGGAAAAGATTTATGTACGTATTTTCCAAGAATTTTCATTCTTAGAGTCATCATCAGAAAGTATGCTTAAGTTAGAAGTAGGTTTCGAAGGAATGGTTCATTTAATATGAATTTGTTAAGACTTCTTATTGTTTATTTATAAGTATAATCATCGCAATTAATAATAATAGCCACCGCTTAATTATAATAAACAGATTATTTTTTAAATTTTATACGGAGTGTTTTAAAATCAATGAATTATGATAACGGTAACCGATTGATAACACTATCTGTGATCATAAGAATCTAATTCCATTGTATTGATTCTCAATCCGTCTCATTCGTGCTTGTAGAATTTTTCTTTCGTCGTTTGTCCGTTATACACGGTTTTTTTTCTTTAGACGAAAATGCATTCTTGCTTTATTCTTTTCTTGAAACAGAGTGTTTGTTTTTTTAATTTGCTCGCACAAGTTTCATTGTACATTTCCAAAGGTGATCCCCAATGAAGATAGGATGTTTCTGACATTAATGTTACGGCTGGATGTGGACGCTTTCGACATTTTTATTATTTATATTAATTTATTCTATTACGTAAATTTTATATATACAATCATTTATAAAGTTAGTTTATAATTTCACTATAGTTAAACATATCCTTCTCGACGGCCGTCTGTGGATGATTTTTTCTTTTCTCAGTGTTATAATAAAACGTCTCTTTATGACCGTTTTCTTCGAGACAGCTTCGGGTTGTTAAGGATTCAATCTGCAATGTAATCTTTCAATGCATCGCAAGGTGGTTTTTCAAACGTGTTTTTTGAACAATACGTTTTTTTATTTTTGTAACATTAAAGTCAAAATCACAAGTCTTTATACACTTATTCGTCTATGGTATAACGATAGACACATAATTTATTATAACTTAGTATTATATTGAATGTATTACTTATACACAAAGTTTCTATTTGCATTTGTATTCACTGCTAAACACCATGATATTACATTCTTCCTTCCCTGTGGACAATCCTTCGCGGAGCATATTTCCTTACATAATATTCGTGTCCCCCTTGCCCCTGTACGTTCGCGAAACTCGGGAGGTTCAGCAAAACGCTCGAGAGTAGTGGAGGCTGGTACATCTTCGCTTTAACTGGCTGATGCTCGTCGCCATTCCTCTTTCTCAAAGACCTGCCGGGTCGCGCCAAACAGTAAGGATAGAAACCAGGGACCATAACTGTTATAACCGAAATAGTTGTTGTCCTACAACTTTTTTTCAACGACCAGTTTTTCGACTAAAGTATTTTTGATTGGAAATACTGAATAAAAGTTACCGATAATGTTGTCCATTGTCAATAACTATTATTGATGAATAGAAATAGAATTTCCCTCATCAGTAATCGTTATCTGCGACGAAAAGATTTTTGAGTATTTATAATTATTATTTGCAACCAAAGTGGTTGAAAATGAAAATTTTCTAATTATTTAGTTTTTTCAAAAGTTTTCTTTACATTTTGTGATTGACACCTTTAACGTAGATAAAAATCGAACAAGTTTTGATTTTTTCAGAAAAGGTTTTGAGATAACTGTTATTCTTGGTCCCTGATAGAAAGACGCTAAGGGTGTCGCCAAAGCACGATGTTACCGGAAAAACGTTTGTAATTTCGGTGTCTGAAGGACATTAGTAGTTGACCATCTCCATCTGACTCACTGATGAAATATAAGACCAATATTTTTTATACTAAAATACAAACTTTGTAACCGATATATCGAGTAAGCTTACACGAACTGTCCTTTAGCAATTTATACAAGCAACAGTGAAAAATAAAATTTGCGCTTACAATGCGGAATGCAATGAAATTAGCGTCAGAAGTGGAATCAGTTGCCTGTATCAGTGAAATTAGGGTTAGGGATTTATTCATTTTTTTCCACATTTTTAAAACAAATATAAAGTTTTAATTATTTACTAAGTTACTCCATTGCAGTTTACAAATCGTTTAAGATTAGCTATATTTATAATAGTTATATCATATTATGTATGATTTAATTGAGATTAGCTAAGATCTACATTATAAGCTATATTTTAGAATACTTAGTTCTGCAAAAGCTTTTTATATGCTATAATGACGTTAATTTCTTGGTAACACTTTTCGATCATTTTTTCGTCTTGTTTTAAATCGTTTTACGTAGAAAAAACGATGGTTTATAATAATGTACCTTCTTACTAATAAAGCACTAACCTTGATTATAGCGGCATATTGTATTATTGGAGTATTTTGTTCGTGTGGTACAAGATCTTGTGTAGCATGCTCTTTTCTAATCTGAAGATTACTTTTTGATAGGCTTACAATATAAATTAAAAATTTCATTTCTGATGTTTCATTATTTTTTACCAAAACAATGTTTTACAACTTTGTTTGATATGAAGGGACACATTATGTATAATTTTATTTAATTTAAATTAATTTAAATCCTATATGATTCCATTTAAAAATATAGATTTGATTTTTAAATTCTCACTACTGCTTGGCCTGTACAAAAATAATTTATATCACGTAATGTGCCCTTTCATACCACACAAATATGTAAAAATATTTTTTTGATTCGATGTTGACATGAAAACCAGCGTTTTTTCTATACCTGAAATTTATTAGCAACATTTGCATATTTGGTTTGATTTGAAAAGTTCTCTACCTCGATCAATTGCATATAAATATTTCAATTCGTTTAACAAAGAACATATCAAACTCTCGTACCTCAATTTTGGTAAAATTTATATAGAAGCTAATATTCGCAAACTGGGAAATTTATTTACTTATTTCAACCTCGTAGTAAACTTATCATTTTATAATATATTCAAGCTAATATAATTGTCATAAACAATTTAAAATTAATATTAAATGATTATGTCAATCAGTTGCTTATAATCTGCTATTGTCTATTGTCTATCTTTTTTCTTTGTTGTTTACTGATCCTTCTTTCCTTTTCCATTCTTTTTCTCGGGTTGTTTATGGAAGTTACCGTAAACAGATTTACAGAGATAATCACAGACTTGGAAACAAGTGATATTTTCAAGTTTATTGAAAAAAGTTTTACAGGATTGAGTTGATGGATAAAGACGTATTTTTCTATTACTTAATTTTTGGTCAATGCAATATTGCACACAAAAAATGTAGGTGTACTTTTCTTTCAAATTAGTTTATATAAATGTATTCTTCTGTATTTTTTATAACGTATCACATTTTATCTACGTTATTTTGACCAGTTGACAAAGAAACATAATATTCCAAAATAACATTGCTGAATGAAATAACTGGAGACATTGTAGAAGATTACAGCAACTTTTGAAAAACATACTCATACTAATAATTATTATGTAGCTTAAAACGAAAATTCCAAAATTATACATTTTTAACGTATATTACTTAAATAAATTTTCATTATTAGCCTTTTTTATATTATTATTCTCCCAATCTGGAAGAATACAAATAAAACGAAAACTATTTTTTATTATATCCTCTAGTTTTTTAGTTATTCTAGAAAATGAAGTTTTTTTAACTATTAAGTTTCAACCGTTTTCACATCTTCAATGTAAATCATATTATCTTGTATGTAAATTTTATCAAAATTGATGTGTGCAGGTTCGGTATGCTGCTTTATAAGTATTATTATATTATAACAAATTTATTTCTGATAAACAATTGCATGAACAATCAATAACAGAAGAAAGCAAAGCAAGAGAATGCCGCATAAATTAATAAAAAAGAAAGAAAAATTATGTGAATAACATTCAAAGTCGTAGAAAGAATTCGAATATTTATATATGCAAAGAAGGCTCAGTCTTCTAACACTATTATTTGGCATCAATTCTCATGAGAAGTCAGTATGATATATTTACGAATGTTTCTATGTTTATGCGGTTTATGTATGTCACATGCGATGGTTTAAACATACTTTATTAAAATATTTGTTATCTTTTATTTTTTGTAGACATAAACTTAAATGTAATATTACCTTTAGTTTCATAATCGCAAATTACATGAAATTGTACGTCACTGTATTTTGTGTATTCATAAAGATTCTTCACTAATTTAACAACTGACTGATTATCACAAAATATCTTACAATTAGTAGATTCCGTTTACTCATATCTAAATTAAATAACAATTGCCTTAGCCAAGTTGTTTCTTTAATAACTTTTGCTACTGCTACATATTTAGCTTCAGTAGTGCCCTGAGCTACAATTGTCTGTTCTCTAGTCATCTGTGTAATCAGGTTATCATTAAGTGAAAATATATATTTAGAAATAGATCGACGATCATCTGTATTACGTGGAACGTCAACATCACAGAAATCCAAAAGTTGTAAAATTTTGTCTTATATCTGATGTCTGATGTTTGATGTCTAATGTCTGATGTCTTATGTCTTATGTCTTATATTGCATACCAAAATTTACAGTTCCGATTAGACTGTGAAAGATCCTTCTGACAGCCTTTCAATGTGCAGGACCAGAAATATCCATGAACTGTGATACTTTGGATTCACTGAAAGCAATATTAGGACGACTTACACACATAGTTACAAATATTAAACTATTTATAGCTTCTAGGAATGGAGCATTAAATATTTTATTCTGTTTAGCTCAGTCTTGTGTAAAACACATTTGTAATAGTTTTGTATGCAGGTTACCTTGTGTATAAGTAGCCGCAGCATTTGTCATTTTAAATCTATGTACGATGTTTTCAATATAACAATTTTGACGTATATAAGACTCTTGTTTAATTATACTTCCCTTTATACATTCCCTTTATATATTTAAACTATATATGGAGACGATATGGAGACGTATGTCGAAGAATTATCGGACTAAGAGATAAAAAGGAGTGAATCAAGAAAGAAGTTCTTGATTCTAAAACGAGAGAAATCAAAGAAGGAGTCTCTGATTAGAAAAGAGCAAAATGAGGGTGACGCGGAGCAAACCGCGATCAGACCAGTCAGACCACAGTGCCGAGTTACGATGCTCCCTCATCTACGGATCAGAAGATGGCCTATTGCCAGTCCCAGAATCCTGTTAACTTCTCTACGCCCTGCCCTCAGGAACGTGGAATGGATTATCAAGAAGAAGGGTCCCAGCAGTCTCTCGCCGCAAAGATGGTCGCGCGAACATCACCGCTCCGGTGTGTGCCCATCATAATCTTTCGAGCCGGTTACATCGATTTAAGAGGACGGTAGAATTAACTGATCTGACACTCAGCCCAATTTACTTGCATATACGACTATGTGAACTGGAGTAAATGGAGAAATAAGCGAAACGGGTGAAGTAAACTAAAGAATAACTGCTCGGCATATTTTTACATGGATCGTACAATTTCGCAGGCGATCAGGCGATCACGATGCTCGATAGGAACTATTCTATCGGCGACAATGCTAGTTTCCAGGTCCACCATGAGGAGGTTGCTGCGAGGGACCCACTTATATTTTCGAATTTAACCCCTTACCGCTTATAATTTGTTTCTCAATTATGATCGATACAATTATTTTGTCACTAATAATTTAAAGAAAAAATGGAGAAAAACTCTGTTGATGTTCTACGTTTATGTTTGCTAAAATATAATCATTGATAATGAAAGAATAATAATTAATTGCAATTCAGAAGAATTCAGTACTATTTATGCTTGTTTAATTCTACTTAAAATCTTCACGAATCTGCCAGGTTATTGTAAAGCAAGGGGTTAATACAAAGTTCTTTCTATGGGATCTATCTGTTAGTAACAATATGTGATAAATAATAACAAATGTAAAATAGTAGTTTAAATTTTGCTCACTAGTATAAAAAATTTGCAGAAAATCAAAAAAGAAACAACTATATATTGTATATTACATTATGTAACATATGTTATATAATATAATTATATAATTTATATGAAATTATATATAATTTATATTAATAAATTTATTGTTATATGTCAAATAATTGCATATTATTGTATATTACTACATTCTCATATTTTCTTGTAAAAAGTCTATATAAACGAGTCTTTAATTTTGACAATACGTTTTGGAAAATATTTTGTAAAGTATTTTCGATAAATATAGAAATCTGCTTTATCGTGCCACTAAGAGAGTAAGACTTCGTCTACAGAAGCGGAAAGGACACCATGTTCTATCTGACAATGTGCTCTTCTTTTATAAATCAAAGTATAGTTCAGTAATTGACCGTTCGATGTAAATAGAGCCCGCTAATACTTCGGGGAATTTTTGACGGTGTCGGTATTTCAGAACAGTAGACAGAAAAATACATGATTTGTACATACAGTCTGTAACATGTACGTAATAATTTGTTCTTTGAGTCATAGATGTCACTACCATTCATTTCTCTGTTGTGGTATCTCTGGTATACAGTTTTCAAAGCTGACAAGTCGATGGAACTCTATAACAATTAATTTTTATAAAAAATAATTCAATAAGTTAATAATTGATTCATGCGTAAACAATGTATTTAAATCATCATCTACTGATTAACGTTACCAGCTTATATAATTTTAGATATTAATTCATCCATTATTTCGATGTTATTACAACCATTGTACAACGACTACGCTGCTAGTACAATAAATAATTTGAAATTAGTATAACGGATCGTTATTAATAATTGTATCGAGTATATTGAATACTATCAGATGAATAAAATCATTAACTAACAATTAATAAATAGTTTAACCATCAGTAACTATTAGTGTCACGAAATCGCAAATTGAAAAAAATTACATATACATTATTGAACTCGCAATTAATTTCATGGAGTCCATTTAGCTCTGATGGATGTGTCGCGAGCAATTCGTGTTACAGCACTTTCACATTGACCATTTTGCTCGCCCAGCCCCAATAAATTTTAACTGCAAAAATTTAACAACAGTATAAATGCAATAAAAAATGATCAGAAGTGCGAGCGGAATTGTCAAAAAGATCGTACTATTTACATTTGTTTAAACGGTGATTATGAATTTGATTGTTATGCTCTAACAAACTAGATATAAATCAGTGTGGCAGTTCATTTTGACGAACATGTTTGTGTACGTAGATTCATTGCAATTTGTCGAAAATTCTTGTCCACATAGTGAAACGGTTTGCACACTGATTCACGTTTAACATATGCGGCTAATTTCAATGCAGTGATTTTATACTTCAATAACTTATCTTCCAAGTAAAAATCTTTTGTAAAAATGTAGCACTTCCGTCGAGTCTGAACAGAATAGAGGCGACCGTAATACGCTGGTCAAGAAATCATGGTGAAGGCGCAAAAGAAAAAGCCAGCGCCGAAAAGGCGGAAAAAGAAAGTTAAGGATCCAGAGAAAGAGGAAGAAACTAGGAAGAGGGTTGCAGCGATCGAAGGGAGGAGGCAAAAGGTTATAGAAGAAGTTAAACGTTCATTGTATCAAAGAAGAATGGACAAAATTGCGATAGAAAAAAACCGTGTTGATAAAGAAGAAAAATTTCGCCAAAAAGTAAGAAGAGACGCGGCGAAGGCAGGGAGCGAGAAAACTATGTTGGAGGTCTCTGAAATAAACCACTTGCATTGTCAATAATATTCTTCTTGATATCTTTTTAACAACTATTAATTTATTGCATTATAACTTATACAATCGTTTTCTTTTATTTGTTTGCAATACATAAAGTAACTACGGTTATATGTTTGAATAATTAAATGAAGATATTTTGAGAAAAGAATAAATATTTACTAGATAAATGAAACTCATCCTCCCTAAATGCGACACGTTACTTTTAGTTTGTCACATTAGTTTGGAATTTATTACTCTGCCATATTTGAATCGCACACATTTTAAAATATTCAAGCACACGTAGATTTACATTTGAATAATTTATCATTTAGAAAATTAGATTATTCGAATTTGGAACTTAAATCGAAATTTCGATAATTATACTAAATTTGTTATCTAACTAGTTGTCCTATATGATGATCCATCATGAAGGATACATTATTAATCTTTCCATGCAAGATAGATTCGCGAAGATCTAAGCAGAGTGATGGAAACAGGAATAAAATGTGTATACACGTCTGTGATAATCCCGAAAAAGATTAAATACGACGGACGATCAATTTTGTCAATCAATGGCGTCAAATATAGGTTGAAGAAGAACTTACATATAGTGGGTTGGGGCAAAGAAGCAATCACGATGAGCGCAGCGTTTGAGCGAATTGTCGGCAGACAATTGAAGAAAGGGTGGATAGTCGTGCCCCGTAAATCGATTTTCCGAATGTGGAGTTTTCCGGAAGCGTTCCCCAGGTTAGACAGCGCTATCTCATATGTTGAAGGCGGGACGGACGGACAACCAGACGAAAAGTCGGTCGCGATCACCAAGAAAATCCTTAACTATTGCAAAAAATTGAAAAGGAAGGATCTGTTAATAGTGATGCTTTCGCGAGGAATAGATGATCTGTTGTGTTGTCCGCGAGAAGAAATTTCGCTGAGGGATAAACTTCGAACAATAAACAGGTTGAAGGCAGTAGAAGCAACTCCTGAGGAAATAAACACTGTGAGGAACAAGCTGTCTATTATTAGAGGTGAAAGAGTATACCTTGAATTTTCAATTATAACATTCATAATTACTGAATCTATTGCAATACATAAACGATCACAAACGCCAGATTTTGATGAAACTTTGGAAGCGATTCCTATTGTAGAATGTTTTAAATTCAGGTATAGAATGTCCACGTGGAAATAGATAAAAAACATATCGAACGCAGGAAAATAAATTAATACTTAACCAGTAAAGTAAATAAAAATGTGTTGTTCCATGAGAAATTATGTAAATAAGTAGAGTTTTCCGGGATTTTCTTGCGCAGCAATATTCCTTACTAAAAGATTCTCCCATATACAATGTCCTTTAGTTTCAGACTTTCCTAAAATACTGAATTCAAATATTCTCACTTCCACCCTCGGAGCCTGCTCTTACCCTCTCCGTACGAATGACAATCGACAAAAAATACGTATTGAACATTTCCTTTAAAACTACTCGCGATTGAAGTTTCATCAAAATCAACAGACATCGATGCGAGCAAAGTCATCGAAACGAAAAGAATGGATTAAAATGAACATGATAAATAAACATATAAACATATATATACATATACATATATATATTGAAACCCAGGTGGTGATTTGGCCCGATTCGCGTATCCCGCAAGAGTGATTACCTTAATCACGTCAGACGTGTCCGCGGAGCCGATGTCGCAGCTGTCGGGCGGCCCTTGCGTGCACGATCTGAAAGACGACACGGCGTTGAAGATTTTAATAAAGTACAGGCTGTTCGAGAAGCTGTCGCAGAGCGTGAGGGACCTGGTGGAGGAGACTATCCCATGGAAAATGGCGGCGGACAAGCAGGTGACCGAGAACAAAAAGTACAAGTTCGTGCACGAGTACGTGATCGCCTGCAACGCGGACGCCATGGAGTGCATGTCCGTCGAGGTGTTCAAGCTAGGCCTGTTCCCGGTGAAGCTGAACTCCACTTGTTCCGGCGAGGTCCAAGAGTTCGCACGAGAATACGTGAAGATCGCCTCGTTGATCATATTGGCGGTCGAAGGGAAAGTCGATCAGCTGGACATATATCAAGAGATGAAGGAGAGCCCTATCTGCCCGTTGACCGACAAGAAGGTGCACGAGATATTCCCGGCGAAGGACAAGTGGGGTTTGGGGTTGTGTCTCTTGCTGGGAGGCCGGCAGACTGTCAATCTGTGTGCAGAGCCGGGCAAGGGCGGGCCCAATCAGGAGCTGGCTCTATACTTTTCATTATATTGGTATATGCGTACCGAGCAGTATCCAATTTTGAGGGAGTACACCGTCTGGTTCTTGGGCGGCAGCTCTTATGGCAGAGACGGCAATACCGACGCAGCTGGCGCGTTCGGCTATAAGAGCCTGGGCACCGATATTTATCCAGAATACGAAAAAGCGCTGATCGCGTACAACGCCGCCTACGCCAAGTGGTGGAAACTTAACGAGGATAAACACAACGAGATCGCGATACAGGTGAAATTTCACGGTGATACGTGGTTCGCGATGAGAATCGAAGAGGCTTCGTTCATTAGCTTGTTTTACGAGGCCGGTGTGAATTAATGAACGTTTCAGGGTTCAATGATAATTCTATTTCTTGATTCGAAAGGGCTGTTGCTTTCGGAAAAGTTTCTTTTCCCAGTTTAGTAAACCTGCAGAGAAGGTGTTTATTTCGTTACTGATCGATGAAATCATTGTTACGGTGTAGTTCCGCGTATGTATGCAAGATATGTAACGTTGAAAGTTACGAAGAATATTCTTTTGTTTCTTCTTCAATAACTCGTCTGCACGACGATAAGTATGAAATCAAATATTTTTGTTAGCAAGTTTTTGCTTCATTTATTTTTCATATTACACATCAAATCTCCTTTATTCGTTGAGTTGATTATTCCAGTGTTTACTGTAAGTATTGTTAACGACGGATCTTCTCCTACGGGTATGGAATGATTGAATCCCACTGCACAATGCTTCGTCCTGGAGAAACGAAATGAAAGAAATCTTCTTTTAAAAGTGTATAATGCGGGAAATTTCTGTTCTTTAGTTATCTCCGTCGTCCGAGCGAATTTCCTTTGATTATTTTCTGCGGACATATTACAGAGAATGAGTAACGTTCTGTATCCGTACTATACTGAAAATATCGACTGGTTATGCCATTATCCTTTTACCATCGATCTTCCGTCGCGAATCAAAAACATCTTTAATACCTTCTCGGAATTTAACATTTATGTCACAGTTCTATAAGTAACAAATATTGAATTTACTCGGACATACTGTGTTCTTGTATCAGTTATTGAGAAAACGTTCATCACTTTACACATTAGTAATCTGTGCGATATAATCCTGTCCTTTGATTTTATTAAACAATAGGTTTTGTTAAATAATATATTTATTGTTTGTATGTATTTCAATTAATTAAATAGTATTTTAGACAGTAGACTAACTTTGTCTGTGTACTGTTTCTTACGCAGAGAGCCTACAAAGACGTGATGGATGCGCAAGCTCAAAAAGACAAATACTCCGCCGTCATACCGAACACAGTTTTGGCGAATAATAATACGAACCTTATGTTTCTGAGCATCAACAACGAAGATGAACTGTTCCAACTGAAGACTGGAAATTATTACACTTTCACAAATGTCGGAGACCTTCACATCATACGTATCGTTCGCTTTCAGTGTAACTGCGACGGTGTCTGCCATGAGCAGAAAGACAAGATATGCGTTGACAGAGAATGCCCTGTCAATGTGACACTGCTGCCCGAGGCACGTATGAAATTACAATACTGCTGTCAAGTCGGCAAACTGAAAGAGAAGACTGAGTCGTAAAAACCGAAATTAATAAATATATCGATCCTATTTACAGCAAGCGTGAAATGGAACACGTAAATATTTTTGTATCAGATTTATCTAGAATGTACAAGAACACGTATTTTTATAAAAATGATTTGGAAAAAATAGTTGAAAGATTGTATAATAAATTTTATTCTACATTCCTAATATACGTTTTTTGAATGAAGTCGTGACTTTTAAATTTCAACCTTCACAGATTAATTCGGGATTCAATTAAAATTTATCAGCCACGTACAAATATTCTCTGCATTATGATTCTTTATGCCCATTTTTATATTAAAAAGTTTTTAATAAATTTAATACATTTGTAATTTATCACTATATAGTAACTTTCTTATAATCGGTATATAACACAAAATGTTAATTTCTATTCCTGAGAACTATATTTTCGATAAACCAAGACAGCGAGAATTATACAGACCTTTTATAGTGCGAAACTTGAATCAAGGCAATCTGTTGAAGGGATACTTTCAACTTCATCGTTTAAACTTGTCGATACGCCCGGAGCGAAATGATGTCTATTGAGGGTTCGGTTTTTCGAGGAGGAATGAATGGAATGAAAATCCCAAGAAGCTCATTTCGCTCTTTCTTAACGTAATAGAGATCTTCTACGGCAGCATGTCCCATGGGTCCGCTACCAATATTGTTCAACAAAGCCGCGGGAATGGACTCGACTAGCTCAATGACACCTCCCAGCTATAGCGCGCCTTTCTCACTACCTTCTTTTTAGCATTCCTTTCTGTCTAAAGTGAAAATATCCCCCAGAGAACGGCCGCTTCTGTGCTCGTCCGACATATCGAAATTTTCTTTTTCGACAAAATGCACCTTTTTACAGCGAAATGAAATTTAGGATCCTTTCACGTAGCTGAACGTTCAGAACAGTTTTCGAACCGATTATATTTTCTAAGCAGATTTCTCTTATTTCAGTTCTTAAGAGATCGAGTTCCTAACATCCAACCAACTTCTTTCTTTAGTTTCAAATCAGTCGAAGAATAATATTTTACAGTTCAAAGTTATTCCAAGGTTAAGACGATGAGATAAAGGACCCTCCAAACGACTGTGCGAGAACTTTCCTTTTATTTTACTTTCAATAGCAGCGAAAGTGATTTATATATTCAACATAAACGAGACACTCTGTCTATACCAAACTCTCTTACAATTTTTATCCTGCCCCAAGTTCCCTTCAAGTGCTGCCGATCGAACAGCGCCTCGCGTTTCATCGGTTGGACTTAAAGCATACTGTTTCAACATCAATCAAACGATAACATCGGGAGACGATGCGAAATTATCTTTAAGAATGGTGGGACTGTATGAAGTATGAGGTGTATAATGATCCACGAAATCTTGATTAAGCATAAAGCAAGGTATATTTCATGCGAAGCTGGTGGTCGACGGGCTGAGACGCGGCGGGGAGGGCAAGGCAAGCGAGAGGAGGTATCATCGCAGATTTGCATGTCTCTGCAGAGAAGCCGCGACTAAATATGCACCGCTCGTTACTCAACCGACCGCCACGCATCGTCGGCGAACCTCCGCGAGCAGTTTCTACCGTGCTTACACGCACTACGCCCTTCGTTCCGTGTTGAAGCGCCTTAATTCATAGCGGTTTTATTACTCGCGGCTCGACGTTTATCGTACGAAATTATATGAGATTGTTTTTTGCCCTCCTTTTACTTTCTCGAATGTCGCGTGATACTTTTGTTCTCCGTGCATCGCAGCCACGCAGCAGCGGCTGCGGCCGGTGTCTGAAGGATAAACCGTGACGAACTTCGACACGCTGACTGCCACGGTGGTCACCAATGATGGATGTTTCTGAGTTGCTTGGAAATAATTACGGTAAGATGATCGATGCTAAATGAAACTTTCTGATGGTGTAAATTATTAGATGATAGTGAAACGTAAAAATTATAATGTAAAATATTATATACAGGGTGTAACTAAATTGTTGCGCACAAATGATTTCTAAACTATAGGCTCGAAATTTTTCTTGTAAGTCGTTATCAAGATATCAGCATATATATGTAATAAGTGTGCAATAGAATAATAAAATTGGATGCTTATATACTACTAGATGTGAAATATGTTGTACGAATGATATAGTCACATTTTATCGGTATGCGACGTTACCAGTAAAAAAGGCATTTAATTTGACCTATGACAACGACAATAGTAGGAACGGTCGCGTTACGTGGTTCGCATTATACACGGTTTAATGTCTGCTATCGTAATGCAAAAAGTGAAATTAGTTATGGGACAACTGTGAAGTCACGGTCCGGGTGCGACGGAACGATAGGGTGTCCGCGGGCGCGCAAGTTAAATAAAATCTATCCCAGGGGAGAACGGGGAATAAAGCGAAAGAAGGTTCGGGTGGCCTCGAAATGGCGTGTTACTCGGATCTAATTGCAACTTGCACTCCGTTCCCAATTATAAGAATCCCCGGAGACGCACGACAAACGTGCGCGACGCTTGTGAAACCAACGTTCAGTATCTTCCCCCAGTGCAGTTCATTTAATGATGCAACAGAAGAAAAGGAAAACTTTCGGAACACTCCGGTAATGCCCTTCATGCGTTCGAGGAGAGTGTACGTGAGCATGAAAGATTTTCGAACGCTCGTAAGCAATTTATACAATCAACCCGTTCGTGTGATGCCGTGAAATGCGAATACACACCAGAGATCTTTTGTGTCGACTACGGTACGTCTCCAGCGACTTGTGTCGACGTCAAATTACTTTTCTGAATGAATCGTATAAGAAGTATACGAGTGGCTCAGAATAATCTTGGTCTTACTCCTACTTCTGAGCTTTCCAGGGAAAACAGCTTTATTGACGTTTAGTTGGACTAATTTTAATTAGTATGCAACTAATACTACAATTATTGACATTGATAACTAATAAGAATTAGTATTATTAATAATGTTGTAATATTAGTATTTGAGTAATTCAACACTATTTCAGAAAAGCCTATTTTTTCAAAAATTCAGAAATAAGAATTAGACAATCATTATTTTCAACTGTTTGTATAATTTGCACGTTGAATGTTAAAATATAAGAATTACGTCTAAGCGTAAAAATAAGCAAAAGAAACGCTAATTTGTTTAGACGGGGTAATTAGATATACTGATTTATATGTAATTTATCAGTAGAAAAATGTTGACGACCCTACACATTAAAGGCAATTTCGGGTCTACGGTAATTTTTTGTACGATTACTGTTAACAATCGCACGCGATTTATAATTCTGCCTGTTCAGCAAATAATAACGATTAGCATACGGCACGTGTGAAAATCCCGTAATCGCATTCGTTAAATGCGTTCGCAGTGTAGCATAGCCGCCGACCGTTTTCATTACTTGGCTTGTCGGCTTATAAACAGGCGCAATGTTCGGATCATCCGAAAAAATCGGAACTTCGACGACTATTTGTTGTTTATTAAACATATGTATCAATAAATTCTATACGTATAAAAAAATAATAATTAATCTATCAATTAGTTGGTGCATTTATATCGGAACAGAAATTGTTGTTTCGCATTAATTTACAAACAAATTTATATATATATATTATATATATATAAATTATTAATTTACACAGATATTAATTTATAAAGACAAATTTTATGAAATTATATAGTGCATCATATTTCCCAAGGCGATTTTACATCGATAATTTAATTGTTCGAAATTTTTAATAAAAAGAAACTGACCCCTGTAAGCCGAATTGTGACGCAAGTTTAAAAGTAAAATACTTCACCTCCTACGAATAATGATGATTCATTAAATATTGAGACATTACATTTTTATCGAACATCAAAAGAGCACGTTTTCATTGATATCGGAGGAAAACTTGAGCCTTCTAATTTTTTTGTGGTGATACAGTTATCGATTTGTACTTTTCAAGTTCTATCGGTATTAGTCTGGCCGGTTGACCTAAGTTAAGCGGAATGCAATTGTTCGAACCTAGATCAGCAGTTTCGGATGTCCTGGATTGCTTAAACTCTTGAGAAAACAAACGGATCCTTCGTTTCCGGGAGGAAGGTTTCAAATGCCCCACTCTGTGTAATCCTAGTACGTATCTTGAAATTTACGACCTCCGTTTCAACAATTACCTTTTCCGTTAGTTCCGGAGCTGTTTCTTTCAGAAGATTATATTTCTCTCCCATCGATACAACCTTTACACCTGTTTGCGCGATCCTCATTATTCTTTCTCCAGACGATTTTCAGACTAAATAATCGTTCTTTTCATCGATTTGTAAAGCCAACATAATCAGCCCTTTCTGACACATAGACTAAGCTGCCCCTTGAGTCACAGCGCAGTCATCATCTCCTGACACACAGTTAAGATGACCGACTAAAAATGCTTCTTGGACTAACGTGCACGTCATCGATGTATAACTCCTACAATTTCTAACAATTTCTAATAATTGTACAAAGTCAGTTTTGTTACGAACAGTATACGCTACATCTGCGTTATTATATCCTATAGACTCCGTATATATGTGCTACGGTTCGGAATATGTGACCATTAGTAGAAGTTGTGAAGTGATCGCGAACTATTTCGTGCTTCAACAATTGTCCCGCGACAGATCATTCCTCGAAGTTCATTAACCTATATATATTCTCATAGAAACAAGATGATAAAAGGATACTCCAGCAATAATTTTCATTTAACCGTAATCAATCCTACAGTGTCTGATTACATATCTCATCCTTACATCAATTTAATTATGTAACATCGTCTAATATACCTTCCTCTCTTCATCTGCCAATTTTACTAAAATTTCCAAAAACTACTTACTTCTTCTCTTTCGTTTGAACAACTCTCTACAGGTTAGACACCGTATAAAAACATACTGGATTGTCAACGGTTAAACGAGCAATTTTGTAAGAGCGAAATGGAACCGGATGAATCGATCGCGATCAGTCGATAGGAAAATTCCACACCGATCGACGAAATGTGTTCTGAGCGTTATGTATGAGCACGGC